GGTAGTTTCGTCTTCACAATCATTTATTATTTTTTATTTATAGAAAAAATACATAAGTGATGGGATTTGAATGTGATCTCTTTGAGAAAAGGCAAGAAACATAACCAGTTATACTAAACAAATTTGTTTAAACTTTTTAAATTAAAAATATACAGGAAATTTAAATCTGAAAAATCATAAGAATTTTCTATCACAGTTAGCTAACCCACAAACTCTCCCCTAAATATTTTTTTGGTATTTGATACTTCTATTTTCATACTTTATTTTTTTTAATTCGATTTTAATAATTATTTCTATTTCTATTTATCTTATAAAAGAAGAATAATTTTGAAATCGCAAACCTAATGTCATTGGTGCAAATATTGCACATCGAATTGCAGTATTGATGATTGAATGTGTAGAAGGGATACAAAATTCTTGACATAGACTTATATAATGTAACTACCATAAAGCGACAATAATTTTGAATATAGAAGTTTTGAGTGAATATGGGGCACATGTGTCTTTAAGAAGGGTAAATATGAAAAGGTTGAGTGATGTTGGTTTGTCGAATGCGAATTGAAAAGGCGCAACAAATGTAAACAAGTCTCAATGGTGCCCCGGTCAACTAAACGCTCAACCATCGCTGTCTCTCCAAACCTTTCCATCGGAATCGATAACCGCCTAACCTCCTCCACCTATATTGTTACGCAAAGTAATTTTCAGAGGGGTAAATATGGAAAGGTTCTTGCTTCGAGAGCTGACTGGTGGATTATTTAGCTTCTTTGACAATAATGTGTGATCTCTTAACATCAGTTCATTTGGATGATCTTCTAGGTTGACTTTTGAGTTGATTAAGATAAACAATATCCCGGGCTCCCGGGCTACTAAACGCTCAACCATCGTCGTCTCTCCAAATCTTCTCATCGGACTCGACAACCGCCTAACCTCCTCCACCTATATTGTTACGCAAAGCAATTTTCGAAGGGGAAAATATGGAAAGGTTGAGTGTTTTTGCTTGGAGAGCTTATTGATGGGTTATTTAGTTTCTCTGACAATAATGTGTGATCTCTTAACATCGGTTCATTTGGTTGATCTTCTATGTTGACTTTTGAGTTGATTAAAGATAATAGATATACTTTTTGTTGCTTTTGTTATGATACTCATTTTCAGTATCATCATTTTTCTAATTTGAAATGTTATGTGGTTAGTTTTCAGTAAACAAAGACTATTCTGATTAGTGTTAACATACGGAATAGTTTCAATCATACCACTTTTACACAAAATTTACATGTAATAGCTAAGATAATTGTCGAATTAAACTATTCAAGCTATAATGCTGATCTTCAACATATAAATCATGGTTTCTTTTGAGTGAAATAACCTCATGATTGCAGATAAGTTTTTACAATATGACATTTTGTGGTAGTGGTCACTTGCTTCCAGATTTAAAAGTGGGGTTCTAATTACTACAATATAAAATGTACGAGTGATAGTCATAATTGGAGCAGATACAAGATGGTTTGATATACTTCTCTCTGCAATGAATAAATACGTGGTGAGCATATGTTGTCATGGGAAGGACAAGCGAACGCTTTGTGTTTGTAGTATAACATGTTGATATATACGCATGTCTAGACCCGATCGATTGGATATCTCTACCTGAAATTTATTGACGAGATTTTTGCTCATCAAAACCGCGTCCAAGTGAGCTCCCTTCTTTAGGGATGGCAATGGGTCGGGTTTTGGCAAACCCAAACCCAAACTCATGGGTTTATCCGTGAAAAAAAAACCCGGGGTAAAACCCACTAGGTTTGAAAAAACTCAAAACCAACCTAACCCGCTGGGTATCCGCGGGTTCATGGGTACCCATGGATTTTTGTCGTAAAAAATTTACAATAACAAGTTCCTATCAAAATAAAAGTCAAATATCAATCCCTCAATATAAATTATCCATATATAAAATGCCATTCTAGAAAATTCAAGTAAATCACAAATTAACCATACAAATTGTTCAACACCAATCTTGAAAACTCAAAAAAATTGAAGCAAATAACATATTATCCATAAACAACATGATTAATTGAAAGCTTATTCCTCTTTGTCAATTAAGATCTTCACTCTCCATTCGATAATATCAACTTCATTCTAGACAATTAGAAAGAAAAAATTAGACATGTCTCCACAAACATAAAGAAAATTAATTGTTTAGAATTAAATATACCAGGAAAATTAATTATATGGGTGTGGGCGGGTACCCTTGGGGTGAGTTTATCTAAACCCAACCCGATGAATAGTGAACGGGTTTAAACCCAAACCCGACAACAGGAGTTTTACCCGCGTTGACCGGGTTGGGTCAGGTAGGGTACCCGTGGGTTCGGGTTTTGTTGCCATCCCTACCCTCCTTAATCCTTATATTTTTCTTAATCTCTACATGCACACCCTCATAGAAAACATGTAGGGTCGTTTGGATGGATCAATTGTAAAACGAGATAATTTGACCAATTGTTTCATTTTACAAAACGAGTCATTTAAAACGAGTCAATTCAGATTACCTGCCCCCACCCCAGATAATTGTAATTGGCTCAAAATGAGTCAATTCAGAATTTCCCAGCCCAAATTGCTTCATCCAAATTTTCTGCTGCCAAACGGATCAATCTAGCACAATCGACTCAAAACGAGACAATTATGTCAGATTGATCCATTAGAATTCCTCATCCAAACGACCCCTAAAAAATTGTAATGTGGGTGCTTCATTAAGTGTTGTTTCCATAAGATTGTATTATATGAGGTGTTTATTCTAGAATTGTGAATCACGATTGTATCTCCTCTAAGAAATTGTCAAGTTAAGCTATAAAAGAGGCTAACATGAGCTTCCTCTTTTAATTTAGATGGTAAGAGAGCAATGACCCACGTAAAATATATTGGGGGTTGACAATGTCTGAGAAACGATTTAGCCTTCTTCAGAGCATCACAAGATCCTGATAGTATCTCAATCAAAACAATTTTTGTTTTCATTCCTGATGTTGATACAAGTTGTTTACCTAGAGGAGAGCCCCATCAAGCTAGCTCTTGGAGTTGCGATGCGAAAATACGTAAGGCAGAAATGGTTTATACAAAAGGCCATACTATGAAACCTGATTTCTAACCGTTCACAGGATTGGAGAAATGGCTAGGTCAATGAGAAAATGACCTAGCTAGGGATTTGAGATGAGAGGAGTTGAGGGATCGAGAGGGGTTTGGGAAGAGTGGCTGTTGCGGAAGCCTTTGGGAAGGCAGAAGAAGAGAGAGACGTGGGAGGAAGGAAGAGAGAGGGAGGATTAGGGTTGAATAAATTGTTCTGTAATTGCCCCCGGAAATAACCCACTAATTACAAATTATATAGTCCTGATAATTCCTATTTCCTAATCCTACCCATCTAAAATAACATGACAATTGACTCCCTCTTTATTTCCCGAATTCCCCAAACAGTCCCCCAATCATCCAAAACCGACAAATAATACTAAATAACAAAAATAGCAATTAACGTGTTTCTAACATCCCCGCCTTATTGAAAAATAACCTTGCCCTCAAGGTTGTAGCTCCTACTCCAAGTCCGGAACCTTTCTTCTTCTGCTTCCTCCTCCGTCTCATCTTACCAGCGACCCACAAGCATCATCAAGTCGAGCTTGGCGCATTTGTGTCCCACATTAAACCTCTCGTCGCAGTTGAAACATTTCCCCACTCTTATCTTCTGCTCGATCTCCTGGGGTGATAGTCGCACGAATCCCTTCGGCTGCGACCTTGGGACCTGCCGGTTTGAGGTGACGACACCCGTTGTCGTCGAGCCTGCCCCGTTGGGCGCGCTCATTGCCCCGTCGAGCCTGCCCCATTGGGCGCCGCCCAACCCGGTGCCCCCGCCCCCACTTCCGCCAGCCTTCGGGAAGCGCCTAATCGTGCTTCCTCCAACTCGCCATTTCCTCTTCCTTATACCCTGCAAGAAGAAATGAGGACCGCAACAAATCTGGTTCGAAAACCTTAATCGTCGCGGCGATCTCTAGCTTGAGGCCAGCCATACACAACCCAACCAGGGTCTCCTCATGTACTCCCTCGAATTGATTTTCCAGCTTGAAAAATTCTGCCTTGTACTCCGCCACTGTTCCCGTATGATGCAGCTTAGCCAATTGCTCCGGCGCCCACCCTTCCGACTTACCGAACTGGTACCGCGGCTCTTCCTTGAACAAGGGCCAGGTGATCAAGGTCTGGGCTGCTGCGCACGATCGTTCTAGCCACTCCCACCACTGCAGTGCGTCTCTTCTAAATAGAAAGACGCCAGATGCGCCTTTCTCTCTTTCTTGATGGGATGGTTTTTGAACCATCTGTCAACTGCATACAACCAAAGGCCCGCATCCTCCTGACCATTGAATTTTGGGAACTCAATGGTAGGAGGTTTAGCCCTAAACACCAGGTCGCCAGCAAAGCCACGAGGATAGTCGTCATACTTGCCGTATCCTGGAGCTCGATCACGGTAGCTTCGCAGAATCTCTGACTTTCTGCTTCGGCCCCAACCCTCTTCCTCCCTGAACAGGTACTCCGCATACTCGTCCGGTCCGACCTTTCGTGCCTGACTTGCATCTCACCGTCCCACCGATGAGCGGGGGGCATAAAAAGGCGGATAAAAGGGTCCCGAACCCTTGCCGATCTCTCTTCTGGCCTCTGATTCGCCCCGATTCAACCCGTAGGTTCGCCCCGGTTTGGTCCAACCCGATCCAGCCCACTCTAGCCAGCCCGAGTCAGTTCGGCCGGCTCCGATCCATCCGCCCCGTGTTGGGCCCCGTCCGATCGCACCCTTCTCGGGTTCGGCCCAACTTCTTGTCTGCCCGGTCAGGCCCAACTCATCTTCCTCGTCCGTGCCCAACCACCCAAGCCTGTTGGGTTCCTTTCCACGGCAAAGCTCCCCTCCTTCGCCCATTGATTCATGCGGCCCGAAACTCAATGGAGGCCCAACATCGTCATACCCTGGCATTTTTGCTTTTCCCCGTATGGCTGCAATCTCTTGGGCCGACGGTGTCGGTAACAAGCCCGACCCAAGACCTCACCTGCATGCTCCGATGGCCGCAGGGTCCGCGATGTCGGGCTCCAAGTCCGCCGCCTTTCCCCCTTTGACCTCCGCCACCGCCTCGCCCGTCGGCACCTTCGCCGTCTTTGTAGAGGAGGGCCCCCCTCCTGTCGCGTCGCCGTCATTAGTCGTCGACCCGACCGAGACCGGGGTTGGCCTAGCCCCAATTCTCCCCCCCCCCCCCTGATGAGGACATCAATGGGCCAGTCACACGTGCTAAGGCAAGGACATTGAAGGAGAAGCTTGCGACATATTTGAAGAGCTACTTTTGGAGCCATGGATGTGGAGCTATTTCGAGGGAAGCCATATATGATTATTCGAGTGGAGGAAGAAGGAGGAAGTGCTGAAGAGAAGGCAGATTGCAAGAAGCAGCCTTAACGGGTTTGCTTAACGGGTCCAGCCTTAACGGGTTTACTTAACGGGTCCAGGCTTAACGGGTTTGCTGGGCTATTTCCGAGTTTCCTTGTTTTAATGTCGGTTTATGATTGTTTTTCCATGTTGGAGTTGGATTTGGGTTGTACTTTGCCTATTTAAAGGCTTGAACACGTTGGTTTGCCTTTAGACGATTATTATTGAATTTCGGAGGCTATTGCCGAGTTCCCTACGCAGAATTTGCCCTAATTACTCTGTCGAGAATCTCCAAAGTGCTAGAGCGACTCTTATCAGCTAGGTATTCACCTTGGTTGTGGTGAGCTACCCATATCGATTGCCCTTCATTTCGAGTTGAATCTGTCTGATCGATTCATATATCGATTGCCCTTATTCACGGGTGAGTACTGTCCGATCTATTTCCATCCTATCTGGTTCTGTTTGGTTCAAGAAGCTTGACCATGCGTAACTTTGATTATATCAAGTGGCATCAGAGCTAAGATTCAAATCAGTGGCGTGTTCTTGAAGTTTTTTTTGAAGATCTTGTGCGTTCTTGTTCGTGTTCTTGGTGGTTTTGTGCGAGTTCTTGAAGGTCTTGGCGTGTTCTTGAGCCACAAGATAGGAGGTTGTTTGTTCTTGGGAGTCCTTGGTGTTTCTTGCGAGGCAAGAAGCAGGTTGTGCGAGGTCTTGAAAGTTCTTGTGTTCTTGGAGTTTTCTTGCCTATCGCAAACATGGAAGCAGCACTCGAAGCGATCAGAAATCAATTGGAGAACATTGCTCGTGCTCAAGAAGAACAAACGGCAAGGCTTGTCGAGCAAGCCACGAGGATGGAGGCTGTCGAGACAAGGCTCCAGCAGCCAGTTGTGGTCGATGCAAATCCTAACCCTAGACCTCGACAAGAAGAAAGGGGAAGGGAAAACCGTGCTCCTCCACCCTTGGTTCACGAAGTACAGCGTCATATGCGCCAGCATAGACGCCTTGGAATGCCTCGAGTTGAAAGGAGAGGGCGGCAACAGCATCATGAAGAGGAGTTTAATGACGAGGAAGAAGAGGGCTTTGAGGAGGATGATGATTTGCGAAACCTCAAGGTCACGATTCAACCTTTTCGCGGTACCACGAACCCTGATGCTTATTTGGATTGGGAGCTAAAGATGGAACTAGTGTTTGATTGTCATAACTACTGCGAGAAGAAGAAACTGAAATTGGCTGCCCTAGAGTTCTCAGATTATGCACTGGTTTGGTGGGATCAGTTGGGAACGAAACGAAGGAGAAACAGGCAGCATCCTATTGAGACGTGGGATGAGATGAAAGGAATTATGAGGGATCGGTTTGTACCGAGTTCCCATTTGCGAGTTATGTATCAAAACCTCCAGCTTCTCCGACAAGGAACTAAAAGCGTTGAAGATTATCACAAGGAGTTGGAAGTGTTGATGATACATGCTGATGTGAGAGAGGACCGCGAGGCTACCATAGCTCGTTTTCTGTATGGTCAATTGAGAGATCAAGAACGTGGTGGAGATACAATCGTTCCTTGAACTTGAAGATTTGGTGGATATGGCAAGTAAAGTGGAACGACAACTTCGAAATTGGAGGTTTCAACCCTCCACGAATTCCACACTTTCGAGCCAAGGAGTTGCAACCAACCTTAAGCCGCAACTGCCCGTGAAAGAAGCTCCTAGACCCGCGGCAAGGGCTGATGGTGAAAATCCAGTTATGAAGCAAGGTGGATCGTCGGGGGAAATTCGTTGTTTCAAATGCCATGGAAGAGGACACATTGCGAGCCAGTGTGCCAATAAAAAGACCCTGGTATTGCTTGATAATGGTGAGTATGTATCGGAGGAAGAGGAAGAGAACACCGATTCTGATGTCGATGAGTCTATGGAAATGGAACCACCTCCAGGAAGTTTGTTTGTAGCACGGAGAGTATTGTCTGCACAGCCTAAGGAGGAGAGTGAACAGCGAAAAAATATCTTCCATACGAGATGTGTAGTTGATGGGAAGTTGTTGTCTCTAGTGATCGATGGAGGAAGTTGCATGAACGTTGTGAGCGCGTGTGCGGTGAAGTGGCTAGGGCTGCATACGTTGAAGCATCCAAATCCATACACGCTGCAATGGCTTAACGATCACATATCCATCGAAGTCACAAAGCAGGCACTAATGAAGTTCGAGATTGGAGATTACAAAGATGAGATTTTGTGCAATATAGTGCCTATGCAAGTTGCACATGTGCTTTTTGGCAGGCCATGGCAGTTTGATCGACAAGCACAGCATGATGGAGTGACAAATAAGTACAAGTTGCAACATGGAGGAAAGAAGTTCGTGTTGAAGCCTCTGTCTCCAAGTGAAGTATATCAAGATCAGCTCCAAATGCAGCAACGTCGAGAGCAAGAAAAGGCAAGTAATGCCTCGGCCAAGAAAGGAGAAGAGAGAGCTGGAATTGTGGATTCGAAGGCAGTGATGCTAGCACGCAATGGAGATTTGAAGCAAGCTGCCTGTGCACGAGAACCTTTGATTGTGCTCATGTATAGGGACGTGCTGCTCAATCAAGAGCTAGTCCAAGAAGTTCCAGCCAAAGCAAGAGTGGTGTTGGATGAGTTCGAAGATGTGTTTCCAAAGGAAGCACCAAAGGGGCTGCCTTCTATTCGCGGGATTGAGCACCAGATTGATTTCGTGCCGGGAGCTCAAATTCCAAATAAGGCAGCATATCGAGCTAATCCAGAAGAGACCAAAGAGCTGCAAAGGCAGATTGACGAGCTCATGGAGAAGGGGCATGTTCAAGAAAGTTTGAGCCCGTGTGCAGTTCCGGTGATTCTCGTGCCAAAGAAGGATCACACCTAGCGGATGTGTGTAGAATGCCGAGCCATCAATCAAATTACAGTTAAGTATCGTCATCAAATTCCACGATTAGATGATATGCTTGATGAATTACATGGCTCTACGGTGTTTTCCAAGATTGATTTGAGATCAGGTTACCACCAAATTCGTATGAAGGAGGGAGATGAGTGGAAGACTGCGTTTAAGACCAAGCAGGGTCTATACGAATGGATGGTGATGCCCTTTGGTTTAACCAATGATCCTAGCACGTTCATGAGGTTGATGAACCATGTTTTGAGGCCATTCATTGGCAAGTTCGTGGTCGTATACTTTGACGACATTCTGATCTACTCGAAGTGCATGGAGGATCATCTCAATCACTTGAAAGAGGTGTTGGCGATGTTAAGAAAGGAGAAATTGTATGCTAACCTCAAAAAGTGCTCGTTTTGCACTTCTAATGTTATTTTCCTTGGTTTTGTGGTGAGTGCAGATGGAGTCAAGGTGGACGAAGAGAAAGAGAAAGCAATTCGCGATTGGCCTATTCCAACCAACGTGAATGAGGTGCGGAGCTTTCATGGGCTTGCTGGGTTCTATCGTCGATTTGTGCCCAATTTCAGCACCATTGCCGCACCATTGACATCCATCATCAAGAAGAACGTGACGTTCTATTGGGGAGAGGAGCAGACAAGAGCATTCGAGCTGCTCAAGCACAAGCTCACACACGCACCTGTCCTGATGTTGCCGAATTTCAATAAGACATTCGAGGAGGGGTTTGATGCTTCTGGTTTGGGAATTGGATCAGTGTTGATGCAAGAGAAGAAGCTCATTGCTTACTTCAGCGAGAAGTTGAGTGGGGCTGCCCTCAACTATCCGACGTACGACAAGGAGCTTTATGCTCTAGTTCTAGCCTTAGAGACGTGGCAACACTATCTTTGGCCAAAGGAGTTCGTGATTCACACTGATCACGAGTTGTTGAAGTATTTGAAGGCTCAACACAAGCTGAATAAGAGACATGCTCGATGGGTTGAGTTTATTGAATCCTTTCCATACGTGATCAAGTACAAGCAGGGCAAAGAAAATGTAGTTGCTGATGCCCTATCTCGAAGGCATTCATTGATCACGACAATGGGGTGAAGTATTTGGGTTTCGAGCATATCAAGGAGCTCTATTCTGATGATACTGACTTTGGAGAGATCTATAGAGCTTGTGAACAGCATGCGATGGGAAGTTCTATCGAAGTGATGTCTACTTGTTTTGAGCTAACCAGCTGTGTATTTCTCGATCATCACTTTGAGAGTTGTTGTTGAAAGAGGCTCATGGAGGAGGCTTAATGGCACATTTCGGTGTAGACAAGACGTTGAGTTGTCTACAAGAGCACTTCTATTGGCCGCACATGAAGGGAGACGTGGAAAATCTATGTGCGAGGTGTGTGGAGTGCAAGCAGGCCAAGTCGAAGGTGCAATCGTCTGGATTGTACACACCACTGCCGATTCCATATGCTCCATGGATTGATATTTCTATGGACTTTGTGCTTGGTTTGCCGCGGACAAGGAAGGGAAGAGATTCGATTTTTGTGGTGTTGGATCGGTTCTCAAAGATGGCACACTTTATCTTGTGTCATAAGACGGATGATGCTATTAACGTGGCTGATTTGTTTTTGAGGGAAGTGGTGCGATTACATGGGATGCCGCGTTCTATAGTATCCGATCGAGATACTAAGTTTCTGAGTTCCTTTTGGAAGACGTTGTGGAGCAAACTGGGGACAAAGCTGCTATTCTCTACCACATGTCATCCTCAAACCGATGGGCAAACAGAGGTTGTCAATCGAACTCTGTCCCAGATGCTGCGAGCTGTGATCAGGAGCAACATCAAGGTTTGGGAGGACTGCCTTCCCCATGTGGAGTTTGCTTACAACAGGATGGTGCACTCGACAACGAAGTTCACTCCGTTTAAGCTCGTGTATGGTTTCAATCCACTCACTCCTTTGGATTTGATGCCATTACCTTTGAATGAGCAGGTCAATATCGATGGAGCCAAGAAAGCTGAGTTCATGAAGAGTTTACATGAGAAGGCGAGATTGAACATTGAGAGAAGGACGGAGCAGATCATGCGCAATGTGAACAAAAACAGGAAACCGAGGCACTTTGAAGTTGGCGACTGGGTGTAGGTGCATTTGAGGAAGGAGAGGTTTCCCCAGCAAAGGAAATCAAAGTTAATTCCCCGATGTGATGGTCCTTTCTAGGTGGTTTCGAAGATTGGAAGCAACGCCTACAAGATCGACTTGCCGGGAGAGTATGGAGTAAGTGCAACGTTTAATGTTTCTGAACTTGCACCTTATTTTGATGGCAATTCGGATTTGAGGGCAAATCCTTTTGAAGAAGGAGGGGCTGATGAGGACATCAATGGGCCAGTCACACGTGCTAAGGAAAAGACATTGAAGGAGAAGCTTGCGACATATTTGGAGAGCAACTTTGGAGCAATGGACGTGGAGCTATTTCGAGGGAAGCCATATATGATGATTCGAGTAGAGGAAGAAGGAGGAAGTGGTGAAGAGAAGGAAGATTGCAAGAAGCAGCCTTAACGGGTTTGCTTAACGGGTCCAGCCTTAACAGGTTTACTAACGGGTCCAGGCTTAACGGTTTGGACTTAACGGGTTTGTTGGGCTGTTTCCGAGTTTCCTTGTTTTAAAGTCGGTTTATGATTGTTTTTCCATGTTGGAGTCGGATTTGGGTTGTACTTTGCCTATTTAAAGGGCTGAACACGTTGGTTTCCCTTTAGACGATTATTATTGAATTTCAGAGGCTATTGCAGATTTCCCTATGCGGAATTTTCCCTAATTATTCTGTCAAGAATCTCCAGAGTGCTAGAGTGATAGACCGTTAATTACACATGTGTTTACCCCTGTTCTTACACCGTTTGAGATGTGATTTCTCGTGTTTTAGGCCGATTTCACGCTAGGTTGTGCTTGTTTGTGATATTTCAGGTCCTAGTACGTGAATGGAGGCTTGGGAGCGAGTTTGGGGTCGATTGGACGAAGATCGGGCGCGAGGCAAGTCACAAAGGAGGCCACACGGGCACACCCACAAATCACACGGCCGTGCAACTCATATTTCTGGCCGTGTGAGATTGTGCGAGAGCAAACACGGCCTGCCCTGACAACTCACACGGCCGTGTGAAGAAGTGGTCTGGCCGTGTGACTTTTGCCGAGAGCAGACACGGGCAGATGGAATTGCCACATGGCCGTGCCACCTTGGCCGTGTGGGAAGCCTGAGTATCGAACTAAGTGGAACGCAGCGTTTTGACTAACACGGGCAACTGGGTATGCCACACGGCCGTGTGGCCCTGCCCGTGTGAGTCAGGATTTCCTGGTTTTAACCCAATTATGGGCTGCAAGAGAGAGGATCGGACTTTTTGAGCAAAAACAGAGCCCTAGAGAGAGAAAGTACGAAGAACACATCCTAGAAGCCATCTTGGAGCTGGGTTTCATCGAATCAAGCTTGGAGATCATCCTAGGAGTGGAAATCATCATCCCGGAGCAGATTTTCCTCATCTTTATGAGTATGACTACTCCGATTACTGTTTTCTTCTCTCTCTCTATGGAGTAGAACCCCTCTCTCACTTGGGGATGAAGAACCCTAGTTCTATGTGTTAGGGATTGATTGTAATGACTTGGGATGATATTACTGTTTGATTTTAATCGAATGATGCATGTTTATTGAGTCAATTGAAGTCTGATCAACTTTTCCTGATTCCTGCTGCAATCTGAGATAGATAGAATCTGATTAGGTTGCTAGAGTCTCATCATTCGATAGTAGGAGATTGGCTATACGAGAGTTAGCCAGTTTACTGCTTTGTACTGGAATCCAATTCCAATAGTGGAGTTCTGTTCTTACTGCTTCAGCTTTCTATCCCGGTGAAGACTAGTCGTCTGCCGGGTAGTTAGACTGAGAGGGCTTGGTCAGCTTAAGAGATTCCAAGCTACTGTCGGATCTTCCGCAGTCTAATCAACAGTAAATCAACCCAGGGAAATACAATTGAAACCTAACTAAGGAGCTAGGGGGACTCATTCCCGAGTGACTCTTACCTGCTTGAGAAAACCGTATCAATTCCTGCTTTATTTCTGCTTTTGCTTTTAAATAAGAATCACTTACTTTAGTTGGCTAGATAACAGAGAATCACTGAGTAAGCAGCAGATCTAAACCCCGGGTTGATAATATAACTTGCCTGTTACTGCATTCCCGGTCTGCGATTATACTTGGTCGCAGATTGGTGTTGTGTTTTGGCGTGTCATAGAGCGACTCTTATCAGCTAGGTATTCACCCTGGTTGTGGCGAGCTACCCATATCGATTTCCCTTTATTCCGAGTTGAATCTGTCTTATCGATTCATATATCGATTGCCCTTATTCACGGGTGAGTACTGTCCGATCGATTTCCATCCTATCCAGTTCTGTTTGGTTCGAGAAGCATGACCCTGCGCAAATTTGATTATATCACCCCCCCCCCTCCCGCGTCGCCGCCGACTCGGCCAGGACCGGAGTTGGCCTGGCCGCGATGCCCGCTCCGGTCTCCTTCGCCTGCAGCTATGCAACCGCTCGCATAAGGTTCTCCATCATCTGGCAAAGACCCTCAGCATCTGTCTTCGCTTCAGCCTGCACCCTCGCCAACCCTTCCTCGAGCCGAGCCAGCGCTCCTGAGTGCTCGTGCACCACCACCTTTACCGCCTCGAGCTCCGTCTCGTCCTCCGCCACTTCGTCGAGGCACTTGTCGCCAGCCTTGGTGGCTATCTCAACCTCCTGAGCCGCCTTCTCTGTTTGTGACTTGGTTTGCACCATCATCTTCTTACGTCCGCCTTGGTTCAAGAGTTACGTGAAACTCACTCTCAACCCGTGCTCTGATACCAGATGTTAGAAACCCGTGTTCTAACAGTTCGCAGGATTGGAGAAATGGCCAAGTTAATGAGAAAATGACCTAGCTAGGGATTTGAGATGAGAGGAGTTGAGGGATCGAGAGGGGTTTGGGAAGAGTGGTTGCTCCGACAACCTTTGGGAAGGCAGAAGAAGAGAGAGATGTGGGAGGGAGGGAGGATTAGGGTTGAATAAATTGTTTTGTAATTTCCCTCCTGGAAATTACCCACTAATTACAGATTATATAGTCCTGGTAATTCCTATTTCCTACCCAACTAAAATAACATGGCAATTGACTCCCTGTTTATTTCCCGAATTCCCCGAATAGTCCCCCAATCATCCAAAACCGACAAATAATAAAAAATAACAAAAAACAACAATTAACATGTTTCTAACATGATCATATAGAATGCGTTGGTAGAGATAGTCAACAATCTCATTTTACTTACGAAGCCACCGAGGAGAAGAGAGGAATCACCATTGGTACTCTAAATTTTACAAGGCTATTATAATGATTGTTTCTTTCATTTCACGTAAATTGGTATTGTGAGTGAAGTGATATTAACCCAAGCCATAAATTGCAGCAAGGAATGGTCGTTTGAATTAATGTGCACTGATGCAAAATGCCATGTAGCTGCCACGAAGGAGTAAGAGTAGACCAATCAGTGTGTTTGTTGTCGAGAAGGATAAGAATCGTGATAATGGAGAGGGTTCATGACGATTGACTTATACAGATTGAAGAGATAGAAAGTACAAAGTTGTAACTCATTTGTGTGTTTAGTGTAGTAGAGTCATTAGGAGTGATTTGGTAGGATTTCACAGTGGTAGAGTTATTGACAAAAGTTATTATTCTGTTGGTGCTTACAGGCATATATGGCGTGCCTGTTTCTTTTATTTGTATATGAGATTTCTACAGAAGATTGCATGCTTTGTATTTTTTTTTCCCTGTCATTTTAATTAACAAAACTATTTATCAGGAAAAAACTGGCTGACGCATTCCATTGACATGATTTGGACATTGCTGTTTTTTATTTTCTCAGTCAGGGATTCATCGTCTTTGGTGTCACTGTGGTTTTTGGTCTAAGGGCAATCCAAATTGCATTTTTCTTATGAAATCTCTTGGTGGCTTCCATTTTTACCATTGATAATTGGAGCCAGGTAAGTATTCCTTTGGTTTTTTCATGCTCACTCTAGGGGCATCATGGTGCATGGCAATAGTGGCTATATTTAAGACTAATGGCTTGGTTTGGATTGTCCACTGCAGTGTTTATGTTTCACTGTTTCTTTTGTAATACAATGGGATAATGACTTGCCATCATATTATTATGGTGTTGTTGACCTACCTACGGCCATCGTCACATGCATGTTAACGGGTAATGTCAGTTAGAATCAAAAAGTCAATTTCCGAGACTACGTCCGACCAAGGGGGTCTGTTTGTTTTTAGGTGGGTTAAATGCATGAGATACCACTAAAGTTTGGCTTTTGTTGTAGGTTGATCATTTATTGTTTTTGGGTTGCAACTAAACCAAATAAATAAACTTTCGGTTGCTCCATTACATTTTTCGTACTCAAACTTAAGAGTGGGTACTAAACGAGAATTTTCCATTCCATATGGACATTCCAGCTCAGCTTAATTGCTGAGTCAGATGACTAGAGACTAGTGGGGGTCGGGGAGGATATATAGCTGTCGCTGACCAGTGAGTCAATGCCGACTAAAGAAATACACAAACACGTCATCACCACCACCCAACTGCCCAAAAAAAAAAAATCTCAACCCTAATGTGCGTCACCACAAAATTAATAAAGAACTCACACCTTCCCCCACAATATTCATGCCGACCTAATCTCTAAGGAACATATCAGGACTATATTTCCTTCACCGTGTATCCTTTCCGATTCCGCTTTGGTGGTCACTTGACTCTTCCACCGTAATTGCTCTGGGAGTCGGAAATAAATTAACCATGTCAAACAAGAACAGGGCTCCTCCGGATTCTATCGATGATTAACCTTGATAAGAAGGTCATCCCGATACCGATACCACCGGTGCGGATTGCTCGCATGATGGAAGCAGAGCGCAGAAAGCAATGAGGATCCCCGTGCAGAGTCTGAATATGTTGTTGATCTCTCGTCGGAGCCTCCTGGGAAGGTATGAAATTAGAGGCACCTCCAGAGAGTTCGGCTCGGGCGAGAAACTTGGTACCTCCCCTCCCAGCTAAAAGGGCGGAAGGCTTCCGACTATGGATTTTGTTAGCGAGGAAAAAAAGAAGGAAGCGAAGAAAGTGATTAGCTAATTTAATTTGCAGGAGCTACTGATTTTGTTGACCTGGAATGCCCTCGTGGCAAAATTGCCATTTGATACCCGCCGTTACGTTTTGGGACGGAAAGTGTAATGGTACAACTGTGAAACTTGATTTACATGGTTTAATTGCAATTAAAAAAAGTGGAGTGGTCAACCTGCAACGAAAGTAATACTTAAGTGGCATTCGGTGCATTTAACTCTTTTTAGGTTACCTGAACGTGGAGCGGGAGCAAAAACGTGAGCGGGAACGTGAGAGAGTCATTTTTTCTAGAATTCTATATTTAAAAGCATGAATAGAGCGTTAATATTGTATTAATTTTTTCAAAATATTAAATAAAATACAACCAATATTATCATAATTGACTAGAACAAGTCAAATTTATGAGATTTGCATATTCACGTAAAAGAAAGCTTTCATGTTCTGTAATTTACACAAGGGGCTAATTTATTGCATTATAAATTTTGGATTTCCCATAAACATAAACATATTATTATGTTCACCACAGCTAAACTTATACAGTTATCATATTAGTAGTATGGTGCCTATGCTGCATATGTCACCGTAACTTGTCATTGTCGGTCGACCTATGCCTACACGCGGTCGACCGAATTCACAATCGTGGTCACTCTGCTGAAACCTCAAGGTCGGCGTTAAATAGCATATTGGTCGACCGTGTTTAGTTAGTCGATACCTTAATGGTCGACCCCAATAAATTTTTGGTCGACCTTTCAATTTATTCAGAAGCAAAATGGTGGACGGTAAAGTACTGAAATGGTCGACCATATACAACAAGAGGTCGACCATATACAAGACTAAAGTACTATCTATTCATCCATTCCCCTCGACTGAATGGTCTTCTGCAAGCAACAAAACATCGAATTAAACGGTGCAAATTACGAAATAAACAAAATGACGACGATAGCTAAAATAGGTCGACCTCACCTTCACGTGGTCGACCTCTCGACACGCGTACAGCAGCAACCACAAAGGATCTTCTTCTTTACAAAAGCTCTAACCGTACAAAAAACCAAATTCAGAGTTTCAGTGGCGGTGAAGGTGACATATATTCGTATTTACAGATATTTAGGATGAGATTGGGTCGAATTAAGTGGTAGACAAGTTAGGGTTACCTTTCTGGTGTTGGAATACTTATCCAATACGGATACGGTGTGCACACGGTTGACCGTTTATACTATTTTCATAAATAATCCCGACTTTGATGTTGATCAGTTAATGAAACAGAGGTCGAGCTTTCACTTATGAGGTCGACCTTTTAATAGTAAATTGGTCGGCCTTTGAGATGTTTGGTTCGACCTTTTATATTGTTGCATCTTTGATACCAACAGCCAGTCAGCCATCTGCCCTCGTTCTCAATTTCTCTGCCCTCGATTCCCTTCCTCCGCTGCCGTCAATCCATATCTCCCTAATTAATCGTAGGGTCGTGGGTTGCTCCTCATTTTCCGCTTTAGCTCGCCTTCACAACCCTCCCAATCATCTTCCGGCTTTTGTTTTCCACCACGGGTACATTGAAGTGAAGAGCAATTCAGCTTTTGTTCACCAGACTGTACCGTAGCAGCTAGTTGTTGGTGGGAGGAAGTGTTTGCCTAATTGTATAGTGGCAGCTAGTCGTTGGTGGGTGAGGAAGAAGCAACAATTTCATCAAAAAGTGATGGTGGCCTGAATTCCCGCTCTAAAATCAGAGATTCGCGCTTTGATTATATTAAGTTCGCGAATTCTGGAAGCTCCGCGCAAAATCTGCGTTTTGCCGAACTAGCGCGGGAGCGCTGGGCCATAGCAGGCGAATTATGTAACCTAACTTTGTTTCGTGAATTAAAAAAACAAATATTTTGGTAAAATTTGCATTTTGAAAATCCTAAATTTATGATAGCAATGTTGTTTTTTTTTATTGGGTTTTGTTATGGATTTTACTTCATTGGATTTGTTGACATGAAGGAATGTTAGCCTTCATCCAAATTGCACCTCATACCATGGAATTTGCAAGTCTATTGGGTCTATAGATTTAGATTCGTAAAGTATGTGAATCTCACGAATTTCACTTTTCTTAATTGGTTAGCAAATAATGAAATTTGGAACAAGTCCATAATGAATTAGATTTGGAACTCAAATCCATAAAGCAAACAACCCTGTAATAGTACCCGATATAGAAATTGGGTTGTATAATGTTAGGACAACACTTTTATTTTCGGTCCTTAAATTGGACATAAGATGTGAGATGTCTTCCATAAAGTGCTCTTTATTTTATGTCTTTAAATTAGATTATTCAACTAAAAGCCTTTTTTGAAGTTCACTGTCAGTAGTGAAAAGTTTGATCGTAGCCTTGTAGTCATTGTTCCTCCATCTTTGACATGAGGGTGGATCAAGAAGATGGTACCACCCGATCCTCCACCTTACATCATTTGCTCGGGGCTAAGATTAGGTGACTAGGGGGGTCCCTTTGTCACATGACTAAGTGAATCTCCACCCTTCAACTTCAATTAAATCTAATGGCTCATATTAATCTCATTTAATGAAGAAAAATATGCTAATTACACATATTATTTATTTAACAATTAAAATAAAATAAAAAATTTGGTTGAACCCGCTGTCCCTCCCACGCTCCCCCGCCGCTTGTTTCCCGGAAACTCCCGCCGACCACCTGAGAATTCTTCCGATGATTTTTTCCCC